AAACAAGAACACTGTCCAAGCTGTAAAATACCAACTATCTCCCTAAACCAGCCAGTATGAGTGACTGGTGCTGTTTAAATAATTATAGCTTTAGGCTTGCTTTGGTTTGTCCTCCCTGCGAATAAGATTTATTGAGATACTCATAGAATTCTCTCCACTTTCTGACAACATCCAACCTATAGTGAACCCTCTCGTCCTATACCTTCTTCAAAATCACTCAATCAAATCTCAATTCCTATAAGTCCTTTCTAATACTTTTTGCTGAGCTGCCCCACAGTTCCCCATGGTATATGTTCTCTCCTACTGCAATGAGTTATAAACTAAACTTGTTCAGGCTACAGGAGTGTTCCTGGTGGCCTTTGGCTGGAAAACACTTCAAATGCTAAAGATTATGAAATATAAATTTGTGTCCAACTGAATTGAATCATTATACTGACAAAGTTCTTATTTCAATAGTAATTACATTTATGGTACGCATGTTTTGTAGTAATCTGGGATTAATTTCCAAATTCTTTAACATAAAACATTGGATTGATATTGATAATTAATGGATAATCACTGAATACCTAGTTCACTTCTAAGTAATGTTGAATATTGAATCGCTGATTATTACTAAGCATGGTTTTAAGTGTATATAGTTTTAATTTTATTTTCATATGCTATAGAGAGGCGATAACTTTGGGTCATGTTAATAAACATGTTCACTTTTGCTACTTTAAAGGAAGTTGAATAAAAGATATATGGCCATAGAAAATTGCATGTATGTATTAATGAGCTTTGCTAGTCTGCTAGCATCTTAATGCTCCTGTACAACAGGCAATTTTCTTTTACCCACCCCTCTAGTTTTCTCTGGGCAATAGAAGTTAATTATTTTGGTTAAAAGTTAGTCAATATAGCCCTGGCTAGTGTGGCTCAGTGGATTGAGCACAGGCTTGCGAACCAAAGGGTCACCAGTTCAAAGCCCAGTCAGGGCACATGCCTGGGTTGTGGGCCAGGTTCCCAGTGGGAGGTGTGTGAGGGGCAACCACATATTGATGTTTCCCTATTTCTCCTTCCTTTGCCCTCTCTCTAAAAATGAATAAATAAAATCTTTTTAAAAAGTTAGTCAATATAAATACTTGAGACCATTCTAGAAGCAATAGTAACAGAGAAATACAACTGTGTATGTCTTTTTGTTTTTCAGGAAAAGAAAAATAGTTTTTGTCCAAAGCAGAATTTCTCAGGTTTTTGGTCTCCAGATTCCTTTACACTTAAACTTCTATATTGGAAATTGAAACAAGAAAACTTTAAAGACTTTTTTATTGATTTATTTAAAGTTAGCAATGATAAATCCATTGCATGTTAACATAAATAACATCTTGGTATTATTATAATTTTGGTCTCATTTACCCAAGAGAGAACCACTGCCCTAAACATTTGTAAGGTGTTAGTTTGTTCCAAAATATTAAAGAGCACAGTACAGGATAAAAACTCAAAAAATTAATTTTATTTGACTTGTATTTTCTTAGTCCATTTTGGCTACCATAACAAAATACCACAGACTGGGTAGCTTATAAACAACACTTATTGCTTACAGTTCTGGAGGTTGGAAAGTCCAAGGTCAAGATACCAGAGTGTTAGTTTCTTTTATCTTTGAATTTTGATTGTACTCTGTGGTTTGACTTAGCTCATGATTTCACTTAAGGGCTAATTCCATAGCGAAGGAAAATGCCAATCCAATTCATAGTCCTGGAACCCACATCTAAGATGACACCTGTTGACCAGTCCAAGCATGTCAGTTCAGTCAGAATCCCAGCCAGCACCATCTTGGTAATATGCGGTAACCAAAGCTGAATTGACACAGATAGACAGACATGTTGTCTTCAGCGAAGAGACTGACCCAACTCAGCACATGGTTATGTGCCAGTCCAGCTCATCATAGAAACAAAACCTCTTCTGACTCACCCAGGTTATAACCAAAGGCTGGTTTAGTTTGGCTTTGGAGCCCAGAATATGCTAGCCTATTCCCAGACCTACTCAGTCCTTAATTTATGCAACAAATATAATACTTCTTGGAGGCCTTCTAGGTTCCAGGCACTGTAGTAGATGTGAATGCTTATCTGAATATGGGAGGATTCCCCAGGCTTGTGTCACCCTAGTGACCCATTTTAAATGCAGGTCCAGCTTCTCTTCCTATTATAGTCAATACTTCCAGGCTAGTATCATTAGATAGATTTTCGAAGATTTTTCTCATGACAACATAATCTGTTCTATCCCCTTGGGACAACTTTTTATTGTATCACAATGTATCCTGTCATGGCCCCACCCCATAACCGTTTGACCTGGCCCATTTCTGTACCTGCTTATGACCATTCATGCAACAAATATTCATCGCAGGCCCTGGATGCACAAAAATGCTGCCTTTAAGAAACTCACATTCTTGAATTCTACCAAAGGAGGTTAGTAAATTAAAAAAGAAAACCTACTGCAGTTTTGGAATAAAGGTATGCATATGAGTTCTGTAATAAACATATATTTAAAATTTTATGAGAGCCTAGTGGAGGAGTTGTTTGAAATTTGGAAGGTGAGGCATGGGGTTATGCTGTGTTTGGTCAAAAACTGCTGAACACTCAGAGTGGTGTGGGCTCATAACTCACCCTTAATGAAGTGGGCAAATGGATTGAAAGGGTCTTAAAAAAAAATCACTGAAGTCTAGTGCCGCCTCTCACATCAGTGCCAGTTGGTACACTGATATAGATGGGTTTCTAGAGCACCACCCCCCCCACCCCCCCGCCAGGGGGGGAAGCTTGTACTACAGGGGACTCGTCCTCCAGAAGATAATTCCAGTGGGTTTTTTTGGATCCCTCCTGTTCACACATACACACACATACTAATTATTAGGGAGAATAATGGAAAGGAGTGGAGGGAAATGACAGCAGATTGAGTGGGTTTTTCTTAAGCAATGGCACTGAGTTCTAATGAATTTCCCAGCCATGTAAAATACAGGGGAAATGGTGTCTACTGAAGTAAGCACAGCTTGGGCAAAGGCCTTGGCTGAGGATGGTTTCTAAGAAGCTATAAGGAGAAGGGTGGTTTTTTTTTAAGGTTTATTTTATTCTCCTTTTTAAAGGTCTATTTTAAAGGTTTATTTGAGAGAGAGAGGAATAGGGAAAGAGAGAGAAAGGAAGAAACATTAGTCAGTTGCCTCCTGCATATGTCGGAACAGGGTGGCAGCTGCATCCTACACATATGCGCCCTGACCAGGAAGTGAAACTAAGAAGTGAAATGGTGAGGTGTACGGGATGATGCACCAACTAACTGAGCCATGCCAGGCAGGGCAAGCCAGGGCGAGCCAGGGCGAGCCAGAGTGGGCAGGGTGGTTGATGCGGGCCCCGGCTCATGGGGTCTGCAACATTGTGGATGGGGGAGAAACATTCACATGGACTACCGAGTCCTGTGGAGGAAAAGGGCAGGTGGCTTCACTCTCAAGAGGAGCCAAAATCCGTGGCCTCCGCCATGACAGGCCTTTATTTCTTTTTCTGGGCACATTACATGATGGTCCTCATATACTATGCACAGGTTCTCTTTAGGTGGATACCTTTTACAGAAAAACAAAGGAACTGATGCCACTAATCACATCATAGAAGGATATTTGCAAATGGAAAGGAAAAAGTAGTTGAACCGGTTACACTCATCCTTGGAAGGTATAGCATGGATTTTAGGGAGTTACTTTGCAGTAAGTGTCGTCAATTCAGGGTGAGGGAGATTTTTAGCAAGAGCAAGACTCAAAGCAGCCTAGGCACATTGCAGGCCTGATTCCCCACGGAGAACCTATCCGTGGGCATGGGACCTGTGCATCTCCGAGTGGGAGGTGGGCTCATGCCATGTAGAACAGTCTCCTACAGGTGGTATTTTAAAGATTTATTTGTAGAGAGAGAGGAAGGGAGGGAGGGAGAGAAACATCCATTGGCTGCCATTTGCATATGCCCCAACTGGAGCCCTGCCACAACCCAGGCAAGTGCCATGACCAGAAATTGAGCCAGCGACCTCTTGGTTTGCAGGATGATGCTCAACCAAGCCACATATGTTAGGGCTGAGGAGGGTGGTATTTCAATCCTCGTATTAGAGACAAGGAAACCAAGGTACAGAGTTGGTTTGAAAAAGACTCCAGTTTTGCAACACAGGCAGTCTGGTTCCAAAATGGTGCACTGGGCTACTACTACCTTCTATTACTTCTTGATGAGAAGCTACCATTACTAACATATGCAACAGGTTCTACACTGGTTTTTCTGGAATATTATCTCATGTAATCTTCAATAACAACTGTGAAATAGATGACACCATTTCACAAAGGAGAAAACTAAGGCTCAGAGAAGTGCTATTATTTAGCAGACTTAAGCTTTGATACCAGCCTCAGGGCTCCGAAAGTTTCTCGAACCCTCAAGCCACTGAAATCTTTGAGCCTCAATTTCCCCATCTTTAAAATGAGGGTTGTGGAGTAGATGTTTCAGTTCTATGAGGGTGTAGAGATAAGAGCTATGTCCGCAGATGGGTGTGAAAGAAGGTGGAAGGCACCTGTGCCTTTTATTAATGCCAAAAATTGTCAAGCCACAGTGGCCGAAGGCGTAAAGGGGGTGAGTGTGGAAGAGGTCTGGGGCGTTAGACCCAAACAGGGCCTGTGGGCGAAAATCGGCCTGAGAGCCCGTCTCTGACCTGCTTGGACGCAGCCGGCGCGAGTCAGCAACCAAGGAAGGCCCGCAGAGAACAGCACCTTACCCGCCCAAATCTTGCTCAAAATAGCCAACGAAGGAAGGGGCGCGGCCTCCCCGCTGGCGTAGCAGAGCGCCACGTCCCTCTTGGCTGAACCTCCCCCGGGCTCCCAGGCAGCTCGCCCGCCTCCAGCCCAATCTTTTCTTGGTCTCCGCCAATGAGCGCCTTCCGAGATCCAGTATAACCAATCATCGGCTTCCTGGGGGCGGGGGCTGTCGCCATGGCAGCGAGGAGGCGGGAGCGCATCTTGGGCAAGGGTACTAAGCTGAGCTGAGAATTGGGAGCTGGCTAGACAGGTCTGTGTGCAGCAGGCCCTGCGGACTTTCGGCGGGCGGAACCTCACGCGTCGAGACTGGGGCTCAGGAAGGCCGGTGACCTCGAGGTGGGTGCAGATCAGTACCGCGGGAGGCTGGGGCGGGTCCTGAGATCAAAGCTTAGATCTGCTCTGTTTGCCCGGGCGGTGAAGGTGGCTGGGGCTGTACTGTGGGCGGGCATGTGTTGGAGGGGGTTCCAGCTCCATCCCGAGGGCGGGGGGGGCGGTCCTTTCTTTCACTCGCTGCGGGGCACCCAAGCTTTCTCAGGGGTCGGTGAGGATGACTGGCTCTAGGCGAGGAGCTGGCGAGGGTGAGTGCAGCACTGAGACCCGGGTGGGGTTACAGCCTGGTTTTGGCAGGTCGATGGGCAAAGGAGTTGCCAACTGTTGAGGAGGGCGTACCCACCAATTCCTGGCTGATATTCACCCCCTCACCCCTTATCCCCCACCCGCGCTGCCAAGCAAAGCTCGGCCGGTGAATCCTGCTTTGCTCATTCTGTTAAGCTGGCAACCCCTGACACTGAGAAGAGGTGAAAGTTCGTGCCAGCTGTTATTGTTTTCCCTTAAGTAACAAATCATTGAGTGTGAAGGTGAGCTTTTTCGATTTCAGAGTTTAAGAAACGGAAAGAGCTCATCTATTTGCAACTGCTAAGTGGTAACTCAGTGAGCAATTGTGGTTATTGTGGCTGGTGCTGCCCACTAAACCCCTACATTGGATAATGTACGTTTTACACAACTGATTAAGTAAGTGCTGCCTGCCATCTGTGCCTATTATTAAGGCTGTTAAATCCATGGGTGAATATGAACACCAAATGATAAATACCTTGTTTTAAAAAACGTGGAGGGACTACAGCATTTGAGATCTTGCTTCCTGGTTATGGCACTCAGTTTGGCTCAAAAAAATTCATAAACATTTTAAAAACTGTGGAGGGAGTGCAAGTTTAAATGCCAATATTTCTGATAGGTTGGAAGGAGGTTGTGGATTTAGAATTGATGAGACAGTTGCTTAAAGGAATTCTTAAAGTAATATGACCAGTGGTATTACAGATTTACATCAGAATATCTATAGTTTCTTTTACAACTTGCATAAATTATTTGTTTCTTAAGGCCTTCTCTGGTCAATTCGGTTGAATGGAGTCAGGCAATATCCAGATTCTAGCATCTTGCCTCTCATAGAAATTGTCCCAGGATTCATCCTACTTTAAGCTAAGTGTGAGTTCTTGTTTTATAAAATTTGAACAAGTTCAACAAAGTTGAACAAAAACAAATGTTTCAACAAACATTCCACAATTAATAGGGTTGACAATGAAAAAAAATGGACATTTAGAATTAGAAATGAAATCTCAAATAACATCACTCTTATTATTAGGGTGCACATTAAACTTATATTTCTCATTTTGGTCTTTAAACTCTCAGTGATCTGGTCCAACTTTGTAATATGAGTGAAAAATTTATTTCTGTCTCCTTGTGCTTAACTCATGCTGTCCTCCAGCATCTATGCTAATGTTACCCATCTTGCAAGGGTTGGGCCCATGCTGTGTTTACCTTTCTCTGATTTCCTTGAGATAGGTATTATTCATATCACACATTTTGTGTATACCTATTCAGTATGCTTTTTGCCAAGATTGTTTGTGGTTTTCAAAGACTAGTTAAAATGTAACACACAATTAAAGCAATGAGGGTCCCTTTCAAAACACTGGTTATTGATTATGGGCATTAATATAGAGTATCAGTAACATGATTAACAACAGTGTTTTTTTGTTTTGGGATATGTTTGTATATTTCTATACTAATTTTGTGTTATTTTGTGTTATTTAGAATAATATCTAAATTGCTTTCAACTTTTTGAGGATCCTTTGGATGACTTAGGTGTGTATAATACCCTTGTAAGTATTGGGTAACTACAGGAATCAAGTGTAGGATTTAAAAATGTATTTAAAATAATCCTTAAAGTAGGTAATCTTTTAAGTATTTTGAGTAATTAAGTTGACTATATTTAGCATGATAGATGATTAACTTTTTCTAAATAATGAAAGGTCTAGAAGGGGGAAGTTTGTTATTTTTATGTTTAATACATGCAACTAGTTTATAGACAAAAAAAAAACAGGCTCCTAACAATTGCAGATAATTTATTAGGAAAAATAAAAATGTCAATCACTTTAACATTTTCATTGTAAAAAAAAAAGCTTAAAAAAAAGCCACCATGATATGGCGAAAGTATACTTAATTAGAATTCTATGGCCAGATTTCAATCCTGGCTCTACCAAATAATCTTGGCCAAATCAGTTAACTTCCCTGTGTTTTATAAACTTTTATAAAAGTAGGGTCTCAACCAAGCTACCTCTAAGGTCGTTTCTGGTCCCAGAATTCTCTTGATTTAAAAATTTCAAAGCAACCTAAGGGAAACTGAGAAAGCAGTTGCATGCCTCTTGTATTTTTGGCAGAGCTTTTTGACATGTTGTATTTTAGTTATCTGAAGTAAGTATATATAAATAATGAAGACATTGTGATTTTTTAAAAAGATTTTATTTATTTTTAGGGAGAAGGGAAGGGAGGGAGAAAGAGGGAGAGAAACATCAGTGTGTGGTTGCCACTTGTGTGGCCCCTACAGGGGACCTGGCCTGCAACCCGTGCCCTGACTGGAAATCAAATCAATGACCCTTTGGTTCGTAGGTGAGCACTCAATCCACTGAGCTACACCAGCCAGGGCTGAAGACATTGTAATTTTAATAAATTTGTTTATTGAGTGATACAGATGAACAACAGTATCTGCTTTTCTTAAGCCTATTACTGGTTTTGCCATTTACTGGTTTTCTTGACTGATGTTTTTTTCTACAGATATAAGCATCAGAAACACTAACATCCATACTGATGTCTTGATACAGGGAGGGGTTGAAGTTCAACTCAGCTGGTATTCTCTTTTGAATCTCACTTTCCCATTGACTCTCATTTTCACAGGGAAAAATGAACTGGCATGTCAGGTTACCAGTTGTTGCTACCACTGCAGTTGAGAAACCTGGAAGTCGTTATTTTTCTCCACCCCACTCCTTTTTACTGTTAGGATTACGACACCAATAGCACGAAGCAGCAACCCATGTTTCTTGGCTCAGGACAGTGCCTTGGAGAAAGAAACCTGAGCCTCTTGGAAAAGATCTGTCTTAATGCCAGGGTGGAAGAGACTGTGTTCCTCTTTGGTTGGATGTATTCTTTTCATTGGCTTGTAGCTGTGTGAGGACTTTGGTTGTGGCTGTGCTCAGAGAAGAGCTCTAATGTGGCCCTTCATAAAATGAAATTTAGCCCTGTCGGGGTTGCTCAGTTGGTTGGAGCGGCGTCCCCATACACCAAAAGGTTGCAGGTTGCATCCCGGGCCAGAGCACGTATGAGAGGCAGCCAGCTGATGTTTCTCTCTCATATCCACTTCTCTCTCTCTCTCTCAAGTCAATAAAAGATCAATAAAAGCATATCCTCAGATAAAGGTTTTTTTAAAAAAAGCTATTAAAAAAGACATTTAAAGGTTGTATGTCAAACTGGTTTATTGCTTTCTAACTTTGGATGTTTACTGAACAGATTTTCATTATTTCGATATTTATAGCTATTTCATTTTCAAGACAGGAAGGACATGACTGTTTATCGAGCATTTACTATTGCCATGTACTGTGTTACTCACATTCTATTTATTCTTATTTTCATCTAATCAGAAACTTATGAGGAAGTATTAGTTTAATTTTACAGGTAGGGAAATTGAGACTCAGAGAGGCAAGTAAGGTTCTAGTAAACAGATGTGGTTAGGACTCAAGCTAATGTTTACTTTTGGCCATGCTCTGTTAATAAAAGTCATATGCCTTTCCTGCATATAACATGTATACAATCACTCTCCTACTATTTTTTATGTTAAATATACAATAAAAGGAAATAAATAAATCTGTTCTTAAAATTTGAAGATATTTTATTTGCTTATTTCCTTACAGACTGCTTAGAAATACTGGTAATTGATTACGTTCACCAGTGAGTTTGGACATGAGCTAACTGCCATGTATTTTATACTGAGGTAGTGGGCTTTCAAAAAAGAATCTGAGATGCTTTGCTTTATTACTAATCTCTGAGACTGAAACTGAGACTGATGTGACAGACTGGGGCCAAGGTTAATTAATTTTTTTCATCCTTACCTGAGAATATGTTTATTGATTTTAGAGAGAGAGGAAGGGGGATGGAGACAGAGAGAGAGAGAGAGAGATTCATTGGGTGCTTCCTGTACATACCTCGACCTGGGATTGCACCTACAATCTTTAGATGTATGTGCCAATGCTCCAAGCGAGCCACCCAGCAGCCAGGGTGCCAAGGTTAATTTTAAAAGTAGTGGTACGGGCGAAGAAAGATTCCAGTTAAGGATTTAATGGGAAGCCCTGGTTGGTGTGGCTCAGTGGATTGAGTGCTGGACTGCGAACCAAAAGGTCGCCGGTTTGATCCCTAGCCAGGGCACGTGCCTGGGATGCAGGCCAAGTGCAACCGATCAATGTCTCTCACACATTGATGTTACTCTCCCTCTCTTTCTCCTTCCCTTCCCCTTCTCTCTAGAAATAAATAAATAAAATCTTTAAGAAAAAAAGGATTTAATGGTACATTTCACCCTATATCTTGAAGTCTTATTGTTGAGCAAAATAAGTGTTTAGTTGGAATTCTTCTTATTTACTTAAAAGGGGAGCAACAATAAAACCTGGGCACAACAATCAATATCTTTGTTCTGGCTTTTTATTCTGTTTATTTAATATTTCTCTCTCCCCTCACTACTAGAATATGATATAATTTTGTTTTCTTCCACATCGTAAAAACTCGGTAGTTTTTCACAGGATGTGACAAATTCATACACTGTCATGTGCCATTACCAATATAATAAGCTTACATTTATGTTTATATTTAATGTTTTTATTTTTGTTTACATTTAGAACCCATTGAGAGTCCAGTTTTTAGTGAAAAAGCATTGAGCTCAGAGCCAAGACCTACCTCCTTATCAATTTGATATTGTGCAAGTCATCTTACCTCTCTGGATCTCAGCTGCCTCATCTGTAAAAAGAAGATAAAAAATTTTAACCTATCTGAAGGTAAGTAATTAGGTAAAAAAGAACAAAACAACTTAATGATGGCTTAAACACACAATATTTATTTTCTCAGGTGAAATAATTCCTGAAGTAGGCAGTCTCAGTTAGGTGTGGTAGCTTCATAAAGTCATCATGGACCTGAGCTTTTTTTAGTTCTTTGCTCTGTTATCTGAAAGGTGTGCCCCTGGTCCTTGTAGTCCAAGAGAGCTGCCAGAGCTCTAACCATCACAGCCAAGTTGCAGGCAGCAAGGCAAAGATAAAGGATGTATTCTCTCCTTTTAGGGAGGTGTCCTGACCCAAAGTTCAGGTTACCGGGGAAGCAGGAAAATGTAATTGGAGGCATGGTTGCCCTGAATAAAATTGAGCTTTTGTTATTGAGGAGGAAGGGAAGATTTGGATGTTGGCAAATAGAATTCTCTGTCACAGTACAGATATTTTTCTCTGTCCTCTCTGAGAACTCTATGCCATGATAACCACTCATAGAAGCTTTCCTACTTTTCCAGAGTAGAGCTTTACGTCTGATCATGTCTATAGAAGAAAATAACTTTCATTTAATAAAAGGTTTTTTTTTTACCTTTATCCCATGATTCATTATACAAGCCTTTCTGTCTTGATTGGTTATTCTGGTTATTTTTTAAATTACTCATAAATGCTAATAGATTTTATTGTACAATTTATGGATATATTAAAATAGAGCTACTTTTTTTTTTAAGCCATTTGCTTTATGCTAGGGACTAAAAAGACAGAGATAAGTTATCCCTGAGTATTATATAATAAATCATCAGGAAGTAAAATTTTAATGACAAGTATAATCCATCTCAAGATAATTGAAGTTCAGCATGCTCATATGAGCCACACCTTTCCTTCCTTATAAGTCAGAAGTTGTGGGGTTTTTTTAACCAGTTAACTGTTACTTGTCTTGAAATTTCTTTTTACTTAACAACTAGTCCTTGCTTAACTTACTTAGGTATATCAGTATTTTATTTCATTCCAGACTTTTACTTGCAAATATTATATGAATATACCCTCTACTTGTTGTGTGAAATGGTTCAGCTGGCTATTCTGTCTGTGAAGAAAGTAATCTGAAACAATGTTTGAGAAAAGAAAACGGAAATTCAGCGAATGTAAATTGGACGGGGGCAGAATCGAAAGATTCAGTCAGTCTTTTAGGGATGTTAGAAGGAAGATTAGAAGCAAATTCACATTTTCTTCTACAAAGTATATATGTGTTTTTGCAAGGTTTTGAATTTTTCCTTGTATCACTTAGGGACAAAGTATAATGATTCTGTTGCTACTAGTACTTTGGTTCCCTTTTTTTCCAGTTGAGAACCATTGACCTCAAATAAACAAAATGATCAAGAGCCTTATGAGTTTTTCAGAGGTATTTAGTGTTATGAGTCAGCTGACTGAAGTATCTCTTTGCTGAATACCATGTTAATGCCTTTAAAGATTTTTTAATTAACAGAGAAAGTATCATGCTCTATGCATTGTTTCATAAGCAGCTTTTATCAAGTTGCAGTTGTTTATTTCACAGGCTGCCTTGAACACTACACTGAGAGTCCTGTGAGGGTGTGAGGGTAGGGACTATGTCCTTCCCACTTAACTTCATGTCTTGCCTAATAGCTGGTACACCATGGATATGTACTAAACATGTGTTAAATGAACAAGTACATAACCTAGATGAAAGGAAACATACTTTAGTTTTAAATTTAAAAGGAAGAGGAGTCAAAGAACAGGAATGAAGGAGGGAGTAAAAGATAGATGCAGGAGGAATAGAAACTACGGCAAGGAGGGATGAACTACCGTATTTGGCTGTGTGTAAAGTGCATTTTGTTGCCCAGATTTGTGAGGGAAAAATAAGGATGCGCATCACATGTGGGCAGTGCCTGAAATACCTTGTATCTGTTCTTGTGCTTTGTAATTATTTGTTCCATAAAGTTTCCTATACCATAATATGTTCCAAATTAAATGCTAAAATTCCCTTATAATACAAAAAACAAGTATATAAATATAAATAAATAGAAAATTGAATTAAAGTAAAATTAAAGATTTCCCCTGAAAGCTTGGGCCAAAAACTCAGGTGTACATTACACACAGGAGCACATTATACATAGCAAAATATGGTAGTTTCAGTTTTCTATACTCCATTTTTCTCACCCATGACCATTATATATTTTTTTGAAGATTTTATTTATTTATTTTTAGAGAGAGGGGAAGAGAGGGAGAAAGCGAGGGAATGTGGTTGCCTCTCACACTCTGCCCAATGGGGACCTGGCCTACAACCCAGACACCTGCAAGGACTGGAGATGGAACCCATGACCTTCGGGTTTGGAGGCCAGAGCTCAAACCGCTGAGCCACACCAGCCCCAGCGACCTTTCTTTTTAACCACTTCCAGGATATCTCTCTTTACAGTCAAAACAGGAAACTGATAAACACACTCACCCATGCACCTACTCACCAAGTAAAAACTTAATCTGGGTAACTCTTGGTATGAATCAATAATTAAGAAATCTGCCTTTGTGTGTAAGTGGGGGTTTTGATTTGGTGGAGACAGGGGAAAAGAGATAAACTTCCTCTGGGACTTGGAAATTATTGTGCATCTATGGAATACTAGGAAAGGCTAAGAACTCGGCTTACTTTGTAATTTTGCCTGAAGCTCCGAGGCCCTTGGGATCAGTGATTTCCATGTAGTCTTGGGATCGCTGCCTGATTTGGAATTTCAGATCATCCTAGTTAGGATCAGAATACTGTTTCAGCCAAGTTCAGCCCAGTGTCTCCTCTTTAGGTCTCTGCCCTTATGGAAGAAGAGGGTGATAAAAGAAAGAAGGCCATTCTTATTGACCCCATTATGGAAGAAAAGTAAGCTAGTCTTCCCTTTGCCTTATCCCCCTGCTTCCTTTTGTATGGATATTTATTTTTATATTCCTGGGCTTATGAAAACCTATAAACCTTTGACACATTTGACATATCTTGTTTTTTTTTTTTATATCTTGGTATTTGAAGAGATTTTTATGTCATTACTTTTCTACCTAATGTGCTAGAACCTTTCCATTTCTTTTATAAGTTAACTTTTATTGAGGCCTTATTAAGGAGTACAGTAACTGTTTTACTTAACTTTAGACTTCAATAAGTTGTTTTAATTATTTCTAGAACAAACAATAAAAGATTAGAAACAAGTAGAGGGGGAAATATGTTTTAAAAATTCTCCATCAATCAAAAAATGAAACAAAAAAAGGCAAGAAAGGAGAGGAAGTAAATATAAAAAAGGCAGGATAAAGAGAAAGCCCAAACAAAGATGGTACATTTAAAACTCAGTGTAAGGTATTTCACTGACTCTAAAAACTTCAGATTTTTTACACTCTGACCTTAAGACACATCATTATATACCACACGGAAAAAAATATTGCCAATTAAACTATGACACTATGCTTAAACTTACAGTTTCATTTTGTGTTTACTGAAAGTGCTTTTTAAGATGCATTTAGACATACAGATTTTTCTCACATCACTTTTGTGTATACATAAGTGAATTACAAGTAAAATACATTCATTAAGGTATTTCTAAAAATGAGAAAACAAGCAGGAAAAGTCAGCTGATTTGTAGTCACATAGCAAGGGAATGGTGAAATGAAAATGTAGACCTAAATTTAATTTTGCCTTATTCTTAGGTATGACACTTGTTTTCTTTTCCTTGAGGATTTCAATCTACTTTTCAGATAAGCATTCTTTTTGTCTCTTATTGTGTAGAGGACGTTCATGAATAATAGAGCAAAGGAAGACATGTTTTCAAGTGTTAGCGTGCATCAGAGTCACCTACAGCGCTGGTTAGTACAGATCATGCCCCCATCTCCCCTGCACCCCAAAGAGACTCTGATTTAGAAGGTCTGGAGGAAGCCTTGAGAATTAGCGTTTCCACCACATTTCCAGGGGATGCTGAGGCTGCTGGCCAAGGGACCACACTTGGAGAACCACTGCTTAAACACAGACACAGGCTTTGGGTTGTCACTCCCAGGACTGAACTCTGGCTTTACGACCCAGATCAAGTTTTTTAACTGTGATGCCTCAATTTCCTGCGCTTTAAATTGGAGATAATAATATGTGTTTCACAGAATTAAAAATTAAATTAGTTAATATATAAAAGCAGGTTTAGCATGCTGCTTTCTTCATAGTAAACACTCAATAGATCTTTTCTGTTGTTATTGATAATAAACCGGGGGCCCAGTTAAAAGTGTATGAGCCATAAATTTAGTCCGTGTTTTAGAGTAGACATCCGGAGACTTTTTGTAACTTTGTCACTTGGACATGCTTTCGGGACCCACACACATGCACACTCCTGATTCTTGATTTGCCTTCCTGTTTATGGTGGGCATGGCAGAAGAGTGAGAGAGTAAAGCAACAAATTAGTAAAGCAATTCCACTTCCAAAATTGGATTTAACTGTACTAGTTTACTTTTATTGATCTCAGGCTTCTATTGTGTACTAAAGGAGAGGTGGACCCTGTAAGAAAGCATGTTTTAAAATATGTGACATAGCTGCCAATGGCTGAGACAGAATGCCTATTAATTGCCCTACATATGTGTGTTGTCTGGTGTGAGGAGAGCTGAAGGGATATTGGAAATAACTTGGGATGGAGGGGAGGACGCTATGTGAAAGATTCTCTGAATCTCTGGATGGCCCATTTCAAGGGATAGTCACAGTTTCTGATGAGGTCTGCTGTGAAGTTACAGAGGTACATCCCTGGGCTGACCTTCTGTGTGCACATCGTAGAAAGATTGTTCAAATCATTTTAACACTTATTCATTTTCTAACCACATGTGTACCACAGTAGGAGCCTGGAAGGAAACACAATCTACAGAAGTATGTGTAGAAGACATCAAAAGTGATTTGAACAGTTGTCATAACTTGGGCTTTTCGGCCATGGCTGCACTTAAAACTATTATCCTTCATGGGCATGAAGCATGAATGAGTAATAAATGTTTGTTGTCATAAAAAATAGTTGTGGAACAGGAGGTGATTCACAATGGGAAGACATTCTGTGCACAAACAAACAATGCATTAGAGATTCATAATTCGTAGTAGCCCACCACAAGTGCAGGAAGTCTTGCAAAAATGAAAACCTACTTAGCGTCATTGAGCCATTGTCTCTTGTATACATATTTCATCCTGAGAAGTATTTAACAACAACCAGGGTGAGGAACCACTGTCCTAGATAAGAGTGAACCTTGGGCTTGAGCTTATGTAGCTTATGTAGGTGGGACCCACCTGGAAAGTTTATTAAAACAGGTTCCTGGGCTCCACCTTGGAGATTTCTGATTCAGGAGGTCTGTCTTGGGTGCAGCCTGAGAATTTGTATTTTTGGATAAGCTGTTAGGTGATTTGGTTCTTTAAGTTTGAGAACTAAACTCTGAAAACTATCTTTATAGAATAGACACATCCTCTACCTTCATTAGGTGAATTTTACACAAGTTATATCTCAAAAAAGGTGTTAAAATTTTGATAGGCTAGAAATAGCACTAAAATGTGAGTTCTAGTGATTTTGTTAATGCATGAAAATGCTCTGTGAGTGAACTATTTTGATTAAAAATTTCTTCATCTGTAAAATGTATCACTGAACCATATACTATCTAGGGTTGTGTTAAAAATGAGGGAGTGTACTTTTTTCCAAATTGTGTTCTGGGGATAAAAACATTATTTTTTTTAAAAAAGTTCATGGCCAGGTAAGTTGTGGAGACACTGAATTAAATAATGTGTTTTCCAGGTTGATGGTCAGACTATTCTTTTTTTTTAATTTAAAAGACTTCATTTATTTATTTTTAGAAAGAGGGGAGGGAGGGAGAAAGAGAGGGAGAGACACATCAATGTGTGGTTGCCTCTTGCACACCCTCTACTGGGGACCAGGCATGTGCCCTGACTGGGAATTAAACCAGTGACCCTTTGGTGTGAAGGCTGGCTCTCCATCCACTGAGCCACACCAGCCAGGGCTCAGACCATTATTCTTGATGCAGACCCTAACATGAGTCCATATGCATAAAATCAATGAAACATGAGGTTTTTATTCATATCAGTTCTTGTAGTAGATCCTCTGGTGCTACTAATATCCGTATGGAGTGGAAATTGCATAGGCAAAGTTGAATCATACTGTGGTTGGAAGCAGTGGTAGTTGCTCCTTGTTTGTTTCAACCCTGTTACATCCTGCGTGATATTTATTGACCTATTTATTTGAAAAATCATTGACCCCCAAAATTTTGGCAAATGACTATTGGCTATGATAATGTTTAATAAGTTAAGAGAATATTTGTAGCTAGTCATTTCTCTATTTTAATCAACTTTTATCCATAGAACACCTTACTTTCAAAATTAAGTTGAAGCTAATTAAATATTATATCTGGAACTAATTTTGGCTCTCTAATATTTTAATTGAGAAAAAATACATAGTTTTTTTCTTATTCTCCATTTCTTAAACTTGGGCCATTTATTTAAAAAAATTTTGAGTCCTTCATTGTCATCCTTATTTGAAGCTCTTATGATAAACCAAATGTTTTCTTATACTATACAAACTTTTAAATTTTATTTCCTTGTCTTTTTAATTTTAGCTAAACAGGATTTCTCCCCTGCTTTTCTTTGTTTAAAAAATATATAGCCTTTATTATATTTTTTCCATTACTATTTAGTCCCCTTATGCCCCCCTCCCCTCAGCAATCACCACCCCCTCCTGATTTTCTTCAGTGACACATTGTTTCTGTGTTATGATCTACTTTAACTCTTTTCCTAGAATTCTTTTGCTGTATTAAACTTCCTGAAATTTAATATATTATTAATGTGGCTTTGGGAATGCATATATGTATAGTTTGATAAAATCTTTTCAGTACTTCGCTATAATGCTACCTCTGTTTCAGATGAGGTGGAGGACTGTGCTACTGCGGCATTGTTTTCTCTTGGTTACGTGTCTACTCACTGCTCTCGAAGCTGTGCCTATCGACATAGACAAGACAAAAGTAAAAAATCCTCACCCTGTGGATAGTGCAAAGATAGATCCACCAGTAAGTCCAATGGGGAATATAACGTTGTGGGAAGAATTTTAACTAAAATATTGCTAATATTTATTATTATAAAATTGGACATTTCAAAACTATTTCTGAAATAGCAGTGAAAATAATGTAGGATAAGCATATGTTGTTTAATATTAGACAATATGTATTTAATGTAGTTAGTGTATTAGATAGTATATAGAAGAATTGATCACAATACATTTCCAGTGTAGAGCTAACCAGCACTGCCTCCCCACCACCCCAAAATTGTATTATATTCAAAGGAGAGAGAGATAGTAATGAGGAGAAACAGGTAACAATGGGGTAAAACCAATTAATATTTTTAAAGTCTTCATTGTCTAAGCCATATAGAAAATCTACCTACTTTTGTGTAACAGTAAAACAGGACTTCGGTGTGATCCCTAAACCATGATTTCTACAATACAGCCCTTCATTTGAGCTTTTTAACTTTGACAGTCTAAACTATCAAAGTATATATGTCTCAGTACCATTTTGCTAGACATTTTACTTTTTTAAGAATTGAGATCTTTAGATGCAGGGAAGGAAAAACAATCAGAAGCTTTACTGTTTGTTTCTTAATTTGAAGGACACTGGACTTTATTATGATGAATATCTCAAGCAAGTGATTGATGTGTTGGAAACAGATAATCATTTCAGAGAAAAGCTCCAGAAAGCAGACATAGAGGAAATAAAGGTAATTAAATTAAATTATTTAAAAAAGCACTTGAGCATGCCAGACACTGATCTCTCAAGGGAGATTAACCCCCAGAAGAAGATTATTAACATGCACATATGGTGAATATATAATATATTTTGGATATACAGAGGGTGGACTCGTAATTTGGTAAGAAGCAGTGGGGGAAGGTGGGAAGTTGTTCTTTTTGGTAGAGATTATGTCAGTGCTTGACGACGTGACTGAGAAAAGGAGAGAGACTGGGAGGCATCTGAGGTGACTGTGCGAGGGTTCCGAGACAAGAGATATACAGGAAACTGGAATTAGTAACTGTTGCTGGAACCTAGACTGGGAAGTGGAGGCCATGACTGGCTAAAGGATGGGGTTGGAAAGAGCCATGGGGATGGAGGGCCTGGATCATGATGTGAGGACAGAAGGAAGCTACTCAGAGGTTTAGAACAGGTTACGTTCTGGTGTTTTAACCAGGTCTGGATGAACAGAAGAGGTAACAGGCTATATCTTATGTGAATCGGAGAGATTTAACTATTTGCCTCTGTCTTAAGAGCCCCGTAGATATATAATCTTAGCCGTGGACATCTCCTCCGTCCTCATGATAAAGAAAGAGATTTGTGAATGATCTGACCAGAGAGATCTTTTAGTGTTCACCGTTGAAGGGCAATGCATCTGCTTAGTTGGGTTTATCCAGAGTCAGTGGTAAACATTTCCAATGAGTTAATTTTAAAATTTTAGTTATACCTCTCAAGACACTATTATTTGCTTATGCTATTTTTGTTTATTTTTTAAACTTTTCCTAAAAAATTTCTCACCCATTTCTAGAATCAGAATTAGAGAGCTTTGTTAGAAAGAACCTTTCTGGGTCAAGCATCCTTCTTATTTTAGTCTCTGTCCCTCATGTGGGCCTTTTTGAAAGACCGACCGCATCGCGTTGAGGCAACTCTCAGAGCCTGTGTGTGGCTTTTAGTTCACAGTTCTCTCTCTGGGAGGCAGTGACCTGTTCTGGGCCAGTAATTCCCCTGAATTGTCTTGAGGATAGTCATGCCTTTACTTTGAAGAATTAATTAATTAATTTTTAAAACAATTTTTATTTACTGATTTTTGACACACACACACACACACAGAAACAGAAGCATCGTTTTGTTGTTCTACTTATTATGCATTCATTGGTTGATTCTTGTATGTGCCTTGACTAGGGATCGAACCCACAACTTCGGCATATCGGGACAATGCTCTAACCAACTGAGCTACCTATCCAGGGCTCCTTTAAATAATTAATTTAATCTTTGGAACTAATTTCCTGGGGTGAATGGTATTTAATATAGAACTTTGAATGTCTCTTATCTACTTAAATTAATATTAAGAGCGTTATTTGGGGGTCACAGAAAATGTGGATAATGGGAGATACTATACAGGGCAGGCCAAAAGTAGGTTTGCAGTTGTTTTTATGGAAAACAATACAATAATTAATAAATAATAATACAAGAATATACTGTGTGTTTTGCATACTCATAACTGTAAAGCTACTTTTGCCCACCCTGAACAGAGATAATTAGGGAAAAGAAGACAGCAGCTGCCTGGTTTGGCGTAGGGAACACCTTTGTAACTGTCTTCCTTTCACAGCCCATTCCTATTCCCTATTGGGGGTGTAGAAAGTCAAACTGAAGTAAGTTACACAGTTATTCAATGAAAAAGAGGAAAATAGACAATAAAACCCATTTTTCAAAATAGCTTAGCAAAGACTCTTTTCTCAGATAGAGCTGGAAAAAAAAGTTAGAATTTATCCTTTCCCTGTCAGCCAAGCATATTGAAAGAGGAATCATGCTACATCTTTTTACTAAGACTTGTCTTTTTTAATTTTATTTTTTGATCACAGTTTATATTTAACACATTTTGTATTAGTTTCATGGGCACAGTGGATATTCCTATAGGTTGTAAAGTGTTCCTTCTAATAATTCAAGTGCCCACCTGGCCCCATACATAGTTTTTACAAAACTGTTGGCTCTATTCCCCATGCTTTACCTCCCACGTCCATGCCTATTCTGTAACTACCAGTTAGTACCCCTTAATCCCATCACCTTTCCCACCCTGCCCCCAGCAATCCTCCCCTCTGGCATTCATCCATCTCTCTGTATCTATAAGTCTGTTTCTACTTTGTTTCCTCATTTATTTTCTTCTTTAGATTCCACATAGAAGGGAGATCATATGGTATTCACCTCTCTCTGTCTGACTTACTTCATTTAGCATAATGCCCTCTAGTCCATCCATGCTGTTGCAAATAGTAAGATTTCATTCTTTTTTATAGCCGAGTAATATTCCATTGTATGGTCCATTGAGAAATTAGCTGACCGTCTACAGAAGCTCCCAAACAGTTAGTAGGTAACTAACTGTTTTTCTCTTGCTGCTTTTAAATTCTCTCTCTCTTCAACCTTGTCATTTTAATTATGATATGTGTTGGTGTGGACCTCTTAGGGTTCATCTTGTTTGGGACTCACTCTGTGGGCTTCCTGGACTTGTGTGTCTTTTTCCTTCACCAGGTTAGGGAAGTTTTCCATCATTATTTCTTCAAGTATTATCTCAATCCCTGCTCTCTCTTCTTCTGGCACCCTTAGCATGTGGATGTTGTTATGCTTTATGTTGTACCTGATGTCCCTTAAACTATCCTCAGTTTTAAAATTCCTTTTATCTGGGGATTTCTCCTCTTCTTTCATTTGGGGCATGTTTCTTTGTCTCCACACTTTGGCAGCCTCTCTATATTTGTTTCTGTGTATCAGGTACATTTGCTCTGTTTCTCAGTCTTGGTAGGGTGGTTGTATGTAGAAGGTGTCCTGTGGGGCTCAGTAGTGCAGTCTCCCCAATCCCCTGAGCTAGGTGCTCCAGGAATGTCCCTTGTGTTTGTTATGTGAGCCCTACTGTTGCATTTGCATATAGATGGCTGTTGGCCCATCTTTGTGTGGGATTGACCCTGAGGCTGGCTGACTATGAGGATTGACTCCAACCATAGTGTGTGAGCTCCTGTGTGGGGACTGACCCCACAAAGCAGAATTCCCCCTGGCATGGTCGGGTAACTGTCAGGATCTCCCTTTGGGCATGCTGCTTGTGGAGCTAAATGGGTCATGTTCTTACGTGGTCTGAAGTCTGCTACCAAATGTGATGTTTTGGGGCCCCTTGTGAGAGATTCCAGGGAAGGTCAATGTCAGAGGCTGCCTGTGACTGGCCCTGGGCTACCTACTTGGAGCTACAAAGTGATCTACTATTTGTGGCTATCTCTGCTGGGCCTGGGTATGTATAGCAGGGGACAAGCTGCACACCAAGTCTGTCTTTCACCAGTACTGAGTCTGGGGACAGGTCAGCACAAGTCCCAAGACACCCTGAGGGCTGCCTCCACCTGCTGGCTGCCTGTTAAGCTTAGTCACTGAAAGAGCCTCTGGCCATATACATGTTGTGTGAGGTAAGTTCTCAGTGGGTCACCAGGTAGCGGGGAGTGCCGTTCACCAGGCTGATACAGATTGAAACTCAGTGCCAGTGCTGAGTCTGAGGCCATTCAGCAAAACTCTCAGGGTACACCAGGCCCAGCCCCACCTGCCTGGAGCCTTCAGAACTTTGCGGTGGGGTGTGTTCTCAGGGTGTCATCAGAGCAAGGCCAGCAGAGTCATTAGGCCAGCAGAGTCATCAGGCTAAAACAGACCAAATTTGGCTGTGTGGAGGGATGGCTCTGCATAGCAGCAGTGGTGCTGGTTCAGAGTGTGAGAGAAAAGTGGCCCTCACCCTAGAACCACACAGCTCAGTCTCTTCCTTTGCATTTCTGCCATGTCCTGAGTCTCTCTGGGCCTCCTGGAGAGCCCTCCATAAAAGTCTGTACCATGGACCCAGGGTGGAAGGGATGACAGACTACACCACTAGGAGTGGTCCTGGACGGGCAGGGCCTGCAGGAGTCAGCAGGGAGGGACCAGTGCCACTCCCAGGCTGATGCCTTATGCAAGAGAATGCTTGGCCCAGGAATGATGGCATCTATGGGCAGTGTGGGAGAGAGACCTAGCAGAGGGACACTGCTGCCTCACAGCCATGCCATTCAATCTGTTCCTGCATGACTCTGTTCCCCTCCAAACTGCTGACCCTCCACTAGATCCCAGGGTGAATGCTGTGAATGAGATTTTGAGCACTGGCTCTTTAAGAGAGTGTTTGACCCAGGTGGGTAAAATCCCTGCTGGATATTCACAGCCAGATGCTGTGTGGGCTCATGTTCTTGAATCTGGTTCTGCGGGTTAGGGAGCCTGGCATAGGGCTGAGGCCCCTTGTTCCTCCAGGAGGATCTTCTCAGCTGTAATATCCCTCTGGATTCTTAACTGTCCCCTCCAATCCCCGCAACAATGTGGGTGTGGAGCCAGCCCTTTTTGCATCTCTGCTCTTCCTACCAGTTTCAATGTGGGTGTCTCTCTATATCCTTAGTTTTATGACTTCTGTTCATTCGGTTCTTACATGGTTATTCAGGTTGATTGTTCTGTGCTTTGGTTGCAATTCTGATGTGGTCCTGAGAGGCAGTGAGTGTAACTTCCACCTACTCTACTGCCATCTTGCTCTGAATTCAGTGACTTGCTCTCCTCCTCCTCCCTCTTCTTCTTTTACAGATTTCATCTAAATACATATTTAATAGATAAATATTAGAAGCTGTCACATCATCTAACTACATACAACTTTGCATCAGTGACTTCTGAATTGTCAAATCCAGTAAACACTTTTTATTCCTCTTCTTACTGAACTCTCTTACTTTGTCCCAATGGTTCTCAGACTTCAGGGCTGGTTAAAACAAAGACTTAGGGCCCCACCTCCGGACGTCCTGATACAGTAAGTCTGGGGCCTGCATTTCCAAAGTTCCCAGGTGACGCAGATGCTTCTACTTGGGGAGCACAGTTTGAGAACTATTGTTTTTTATCTAATAATAATGATTATGCTCTCCTTAAAAGAGACTGCTCTTTCTGCTTCTATAACAGCATATTTTCCTAGCTCTCCTTCTCTTTCGGTCTCCCTTGCAGGGTTTCTTTTCCTTCTCTTCTCCGGCAGGCCCCATTGACTCAGTCCTAAATGGTCTGCCTGCCTGAATGCTAGTTAGACTTGCCGTCTGTGAATGCAAATGCATTTAGACACAAGAGAAAGGAAACCACTAGCTGTTTTGTTTCCTAAATCTTGGAACATGTATCTCATTACTCATCTATGAAAAATGTCATCAAAGGAGACACCCTAAAAAAGATAAATTTTGAAGTTACTTATATATGGGATAACTATAGCTAAAGTAGGACAAGCTACTTGAAAAAAAACTTTATGGAAATATAATTCACAACCATAAAATTTGCCCCTTTATTTATTTTAAAATTTGCCCCTTTAAAACATACAATTCATTGGTTTTTAGTATATACATCAAGTCTTACAACCATTACCATAAATTTCATTTGCTCCCAAAAGAAACCCCATATCCATTAAGCAATCACTACCCACTTCTTTCTCTCCTTGGCCCCTGAAACTAGTAATCTGCTTTCTATCTTTATGGATTTGCTTATTCTGGACATTTCACATGGATGCAGTCATATAATATGTGTCCTTTAGTGTCTGGCTTCTTTGACTTAGCATAATGAATGAAAGCATGTTTTCAAGGTTCATCATATTGTAGAATGTATTAGTACATTGATTCCTTTTTATGGCTGAGTAATTTTATGGTATGGATATTCCATATTTTGTTTATTAATTCACCAGTTGATGGACATTTGAGTTATTTCCACTTTTTTGGCTAGTATGAACAATGCTACTATGACCATTCATGTACAAGTTTCTTGTACACGTGAACATATGTTTCAATTCTTTAGGTATACACCTAGAAATGGAACTGTTGGGTCTTATGGTAACTGTGTGTTTAACTTTTGTTTATAAGAGAAAATTTATTTAGAAAGTCACAGAAATAGGAGAAGTGAGCTGTAGAAGAAATGAGCTTAGGAAACCAGTTACAGAGGCCAAAAGAAGGGTTTGGAGTTTAGGGGAGAGAGAGGGAGGCAAGGAAAATGCCCCTGGGTGAAGGGGGTGGGGAAAGGTTGGGTTTGCTCCAGAGAGAGAGCCACTGTGTTCAACTTTCCGAAGAACTGCCAAATGTTTTCCAAAGTGGATGCACCATTATTACAGTGTGTCATAATACAGTGAATTATTTTGTAACTCATCACTTTTTGAGTTTCTCCTTTGTGCTTTAATTATGCTTTTATAAATTTTATGGATTTTAGATATCTTGATTTTAGACTTACAAATTAAATATCTTCTGAAAGAAATGCTTTTGTAATATCAAATTTATCTAAGTTAGTCAAAAGTATCTAACACTACTTTATTGTAATCCTATTTTTAATGTATGGTATCTGTCCTAAAAAAGCAGGATAATAGATAACACTAACTTTTTATTTTGTCAACAGAGTGGGAGGCTAAGCAAAGAGCTGGATTTAGTAAGTCACCATGTGAGGACAAAACTTGATGAACTGAAAAGGCAAGAAGTTGGAAGGCTAAGAATGCTAATTAAAGCTAAATTAGATTCCCATCACGGTAAGTGTTAAATAAAAGGTAGGAAGATTTCAATATCTGGTGTTGCAGTGAATTTACATTAGTACATGCCATGCTCTTCTAGTCAAAATTTAATGTTAGTATTAATTTGGCTTCTCTTAATTATTAATATTTAATATTTGAATAGGCAGTACCTTCACAGCATTCAAAATTCAAATGATTAAATTTAAATAATTATATCAATAACAAGGAAAAATGAAAATTAATGAATGAAACCACTGACTTAAAAGAGGAACAGTGAACTGTCAGAAAATTGAAATGTATGGAAGTCCCACAACCGAGGAAATAAGTCACATTCATTCAAATGGGGAGGTGGGATGGAAATGCAGAGAGATGGAGCTGGCTAGTCGCACACCCATGTGTGTTGGATAAAAATCAGGAGTGATATCTCGGGAGTGAGAGATCCCTGCTCCACATCAGACCACCCAGCCCAAGGTTCCAGGACCAGGAATATAAGTCCCAAAACTTCTGGCTGTAAAAACCAGTGGGGTTTGGGGCAGTGGAAGAAACGGTGGGATTCTCAGGCATCTCCTCTTAAAGGGCCCAGAACAGACTTAGGACTTACTCAGACTCACTCCCTCTGGGCTCCAGCACAGGGGCAGCAGTTGGAAGGACACCTGTAGCATACAGGGAGGAACTGAAGTATCTGGCATTGGGGTAAGTGCCAGGAGACAGCTTCCTCCCAGACAAAACTCCAGAGGCCAGGCAGTGGCGATTGTTCCTTTTCTGAGACCTCCCCCACACAGAGCCACATATCTGAGACTCCATCAACCTGGTTCACACAGGTTGCTCCTCCCTGGCAGTTGCCTAAAGCTCTTCCCTATCCAACTTAACGGAATTCATCTTTACCAAGCCATTATTATGTGCAATGGTAAAGGGACTTATTTAAGAAAAAGATAAAAATTATCACTACAATGGCAATAAATTCACAACTGTCAACAAATGAATCTAAAAAACAAACTGAGCAAACAAGCAAAACAGAAACAGAACCATAGACATGCAAATCATTTGGAGGGTTATCAGCTGGGAGGAGGAAGGGGGAGAATGGGGGAAGAGGTTCAGGGATTAAGGAGTACAAATTGGTAGCTACAGAATAGTCAGGAGGATGTTAAGAACAGTATAGGAAATGGAGTTGCCAAAGAACTTATATGCATGACCCATGGACATGAACTAAGAGGGGGGGATTGCCCGAGGGAATGGGGCTTTGCTGGGCAGAGGGGGAGCAAAGGGGAAAATTTAGGACAACTATAATAGCATAATCAATAAAATATATTTGAAAAAAATAAAAGAGGAAAAATAGCATCAAAACTAACCAAAAGAAAACAGAGGGAGAAAATCTAATTGGAACAATTTCCATAGGTGAAATAAAGAATTTGTCAGAGAGTTAGATCAACAAAAAACAGCAGGCCCAGAGAGTGTCAAAGGCAATTCTGTCAAACCATGAAAGAGAAGATTGTGAATGTCGTTTAAACTATTGTAGAGCATAGAAAGAAGATAACCTTCCATAATCTTGTTATGTGTTGATGTCAAACCCAAAATTATTGTATGTCAAAATAATTCTGTATCCTAGCAAGTGGATTTATTTCAAGAGTGTAAAAAATCTAGTACTATAAATCCTCATATGACTAGAAATAAGGAAAAAAATTTGCCTGACAGAAGAAATCATAAAGTCAAAGGACAAATGATAAATTGGGATAGTACTTTGAAGCTTGTATTTTTTAAAAATTAAGATTTTTTTAAGCCCAATATAAGATTTCACAGCAGAATTGAGGGGAAGTACAGAGATTTATCATATTCCTTCTTTCCCTAAACGTGCATGGCTTCCCCCATTACTAACATCTTCCATCAACTCCGGTAACACTGACATTGTTACAACTGATGAATCTACATTGATGCATCATAATCGTCCAAAGTTCATACTTTAGAGTTCACCCTAGGTGTTGTACATTCTATGTGTTTAGACAAATTTATAGTGACATATCTACCATGATAGTATCATACAGAGTAGTTTCATTGCCCCAAGTCTTCTGTACTCTGCCAATTCATCCCCCCGCCCCCACATTCTCTTAATTTTAGACTGTGGGAAGACTAAATAGCTATGAAGTCGATTTTTAATTTATTTTTATTTTTAAACTTTTTTTTTGCAGATTTTTGAATTGATTATGCTCTTGCAGTTGTCTCAATTTTTTCCTCCTTTGACAATCTCCACCCTGTACCCCCACCCCCTCAGGCAATCCCCACACCATTGTTCATTTTCATGGGTCATGCATATACATTTTTTTAAAAATTTAATCTTTATTGTATTTTTTTCCATTACCAATTAGTCCCCTTGTACCCCTCTCTACTGAGCAATCACCATACTGTTGTCCATGTCCATGAGTCCTTTTCCTTTTGTCTCAATCCCTCTACCCTCTAAACCCTGCCCCCTACTAGCTATATCAGCTCTCCATCTATGAGTCTGTCTTTTTTATGATTGTTACATCAGTTTGTTCATTAAATTCTACATATGAGTGAAATCATATAGTATTTGTCTTTTTCTGACTGGCTTCTTTCACTTAGCATAATGTTCTCCAGGTATATTCATATTGTTGCAAAGGGTGAGATTTTTCTCCTTTTTTATAGCCGAGGCATATAAGTTCTTTGGCTACTCCATTTCCTATACTGTACTTTACATTCCCATAGCTATTCTGTAACGACATATTTATACTTTTTATCCCCTCACTTTTTCACCCATTCTCCCCTCCCCCCTCCCATCTGGCAACCTTCTGTTAACTAACTTCTTTTCTATTGCTGCTTTTAAGACTCTTTCTTTACCTTTAAACTTTGGCCTTTTCATAATGAGGTGTCTTGGAGTGGCCCTTTTTGCATCCATCATAATTGGGACCCTCTGTGCTTCCTGGACTTGCATGTCTATTTCCTTCACCAAATTAGGAAAGTTGTCTTTCATTATTTTTTCAAATAGATTTCCAATTTTTTGCTCTTTCTCTTTTCCTTCTGGCACCCCTATGATGTGAATGTTGGACCTCTTAAAGTTTTCCCAGAGGCTGCTTATACTATCCTTATTTTTTTTTTGGATTCTTTTTCTTCTTGTTTTTCTGATTGGTTGTTTTTTGCTTCCTTCTGTTCAAAATCATTGATTTGATTCTCAGCTTCATCCACGCCACTGTTGTTTCTCTATAAATTGTTCTTTATTTCAATTAGTGTACACTTCATTTTTGACTGGAGCTTTTTTATGCCATTGAGGTTCTTCCTAAGTTCCTTGAGCATCTTTATAACCAGTGTTTTGACCTCTGCATCTGATTGCTTATCTCCATTTTGTTCAGTTATTTTTCTGGAGTTATTTTTCAGCTTATTTTTGTTCAGTTATTGATCTGTTCTTTCATTTGGGCCATATTTCTTTGTCTCCCTATTTTGGCAGCCTCCCTGTGTTTGTTTCTATGTATTAGGTAGGGCTGCTATGACTCCTTGTCTTGGTAGTATGGCTTAATGTAGTAGGTGTGTCCTGTAGGGTCCAGTAGCATAGCCTCCCCTATCACCCAAGTTGGGTACTCGAGATGTGCCCTTTGTGTGAGCTGAGAACACCCTCCTCTTATAGTTGAGCCTTGGTTGCTGTTGGCAGGTCAATGGGAGGGATTTACCCAGACCAGTCAGTTGCAAGGACTGGCTGTGATCACTGAACACCAACCTCTGCCCTCATGGAGGATCAGCTGTGCAGGGACAGGGTGGTAGTGCTCCAACATGGTCTGTAGCTGTCCACTGAGTGCACAGGTTCTGGGGTATCCTGGGTGGTACAGACAAAGGTCAGCCAGGACCTGTGTTCTGCCAGGGATCACCCTGCATGAGCTGTAAAGCCATCTGAGATGGCTGCTACTTGTGCTGGGCTTGGAGATCCAAGACAAAGCCTAAGTGTGGATCTAGGCTGGCTGCTGCTAGTTCCAAGCCTGGGACCACTTAGTAAGAGGTATTGGGGCTGGGGGCTTACTAAGGTCAGCTGTTGCTTGTTTGATAAGATTTAGGAAGTTGTACAGCATGAGCCAGGACCAGCCATTTATATGGAAGAGTCACAGTTAACAGTTTGGATGAGTCAATTTGGGTAAGACAGAATCTCAGGGGATCTCCAAGGTGGGCCAGGTTGATGGAGTTTCAGTTATGTCACCCACCTGCTGGCTCTGTAGCTCTGTGGGGGAGGGCTCAGAAAAGGGACAATCTACAGAAGATTCTACCTTTCTGTCTGGGAGAAAGCTGTCTCTCAGTTTCCGCCTTGATGCCAGCCAATTCAGTTCCTCCCTGTATGCTACTGATGCCTTTCAAGCTGCTACCCCAGTGCTGGAGCTCAGAGGGACTGAGTTTGAGTAAGTCCCTGTGTGGGTTCTTTAAGGGGAACTGTTTGGAGCTCCAAAAGTTTTTTCCACTGACTTAATCCCCACTGGATTTTGCAGTCAGAAATTATGGGCACTTATCTTCCTGGCACTGGAATCCCAGGCTGAGGAGCCGAGTGTGGGGCTGGGTCTCCTTGCTCCTGAGATATCCCTCCTGAATTCTTATCACCACACGTGGATGTGGGACAAGCCTGTTCTGTGTCTCTGCCCCTCCTACCAGTCTGGATGTATGTGGTTTCTTTAATTCTGTAGTTATCAGAATTCCATTCAACTTGATTTCTGATGGTTTTGAGTGATGGTTGTTCTATATTTTAGTTGTAGTTTTGATATGGTTGTGAGAGGAGATGAGCCATGTTTACCTATGCCACCATCTTGACCAAAGCCTAAGAAGTAGATTTTTTAAATATGAGGATATTTTAAAGAAAGTAATCACAAAGTTCAAATGATCATCTTCATATATACAGAAAAGGCATTTGACAAAATTTAATACCCTTTCTTAATTTGAAAAAAGTAGTAAGATAGTAATCAGTAGATACTTCTATAACATAATCAGATATTTTCAACTCAGCTACCTTATACTTAACAGGGAAACATAAGTCTGTG